GCAATTCCCTAGGCAACAGTGCCACCGGCACCACCGGCGCCAGCATCCTCGTTCCAACGAGGACAGTTGTCATAGGTGTGATCCAAACCCAGGCACACCCAGCAACCGCGGAGGGACATCGCCAATTCAATCTGCGCTTTTGGTAGGTACCCCCCACCAGGCGCTGGCTTGTTGGACAGCGCCAGGTTCACCCGCTGACGCTTCCGCCCCATCACTTGTTGCCATTCGCCCTGGACCACTCGGCCCGCACCGCGACCGGCAGCCTCTGCACCGCGACCTGCGGTGGCTCCTCCTCGGGCACCACGGCCTCGACCCGGGTTAACATTACCCCGGCCTCCCTGTCCGCGACCCCCACCTGGACCATTGCGTCCGGCCACGCGGCCTGCTGGGCCACCACCACGTCCACCACCCCGGCCACGGCCTCCAGCACCACGGCCCGCACCCACGTTGGCCGGCTGAATAGGGGCAGCGACGGGCGGCGCCTGGACAGGTCCAGCGTGTACTGGAGCGGGTGCCGCCACAGCAGCAGCAAAGGAAGGTGGAGCCATCTGCGCATCCGGAAGCTGTGCGACCGCAACAGCTGCTGGCACAGCAACGGGCTGTACGGGGTCTGGCATTGCGCCAGCGGCGGGTGCTCCAGCAATAGGGATTACTGGTTGACCAACAGGTGCGACGGGCACGGGCACAACGGGTGCCAACGGGGGAGCGGCAGCGCCAGCCTCACCCGCTGGGTTCCCTGAGGAGCCTGACGCCATAACGACGTCGAGTGACCCACCGGGGTCGTTTGTTCCGCCTGTCCCGTTCATGGGAGAGATAGTCAGACGTGCGAAATATTCGCACTCCCTATCAATGCGGCCCGGAATGAGGGACTGCCGCTGTCCCATGGACCTATGGTCTCGATACCAAATCTGTAGTGAGTCTGGTTGAGACACGCCAGAATAAAGCGAAATGTAGCAGCAGAAAACAGATCTGTTTGTCTAGACCACACTAGATGGTAAAGGTGCGAGGTGGGTGTGACCATGACACCAGTAGTAATAGCAGCGCTAGACTACTCATGCCTACCAGGCATCCGCACCGAATTATATACGATCGGTAATTGGTGACCGTAGCCCTGCGGGACTTCTTTTAACCTTCCTTGATAGGATAGGTCGATCGACGTGACTGTATGATTGACAACTGTCACAGTTTACACAACCGACAACCTGTCAGTTGATCTCAGCCCGTTGGAACGTCCGTGGTGTATCGCATCCGGTGTCTTTTGACACCACCATGACTGGTTGTGATAAGCCTTAACGTAACACAGGTGACTTTTAACGCGAGCGTTAGCTTAGCTATAGGTGTAACGCAAACGCCTGTGAATGGTGCGAATGCGTATGCACATGCGAATGTGGCGAATGAATTCGCGAGTTTTACGCGACCCTAAACGCGACCAGGTGACTTTTAATGCGAGCGTATCGCCAAACGCAAGGGATTGCGAATGTCATACGCGACTGCGAATCCTGTGAATGCATGTGCTACCTGCAGGTCATGTGCAACGGCGGTGCACTTTGCACATTGTACAGCTCGCGTACTGCTATTGTAAAGCTTTTGTATTGCACGCCCTATGGCATAAACATG